GTTGCTTCTTCTACTCTCCTCGTCCTCAGTTCCTCCCTTCTTTATCAGCGACATTTTTCTTTATTCCTTCTTCTTGTCTTGATCGCGTCTTCCCTTGGGGCGTTTTTCTTTATTTTTGTGATCAAAATCGCCTTTGGAATTCCCTCTTCCATCATCCGTAAATCGCGTTTGTACCACGTCATCCTGTTATTTTATAGTCTGCCTTACCAACGCATTTATGCTTTAAATTCCGTCGGTCTGCTGATTTCTGCGTTCGCAAGTGTCGAAGCTTTGCGCTCCACAAGTTAAGACTGAATAAACATAAAATTGGACCGATAATCAAATATTTGTCACCCGTATATTCAAGTCCGCGCTCTTCTGCAGACTGAACTGAGTTCCCGCAGAAGAAACTTATTCTTTGTCGTGTTTCTATGGGAATTCACAGGGCGATAGAAATATTTCACTCAGACTGCGTTCACGCAATCAGCAGACATTTTGAAAGGATTTTTTCCGCCGAAACATCTTCTTCACGATGCGGGAAGAGGTGATATTGGAACAAGTAGTTGGTTATTGGTTCTTTAACTTTGCTGGCCTACGATGAATGCGAAGAATATTTCCGCAAGGAACAAGCGGGCATAGCAGACGCCCTACGCTGTCGAATGGGAATAAAAAGTAGCAGAAGTTAAGTACATAAACGAAGAAAATGAAATCCCTGCAGGAAGCAGAAGGCGCGGGTGTGTATTTCAGTCCTCTTTTTAACTTGCAACTCGCTCGCACAAATTGAAATCCTGACGCCCGTTTGTGCGTACGCGAGCAAGTTCAGGTCTCGAGAGGTCAGCTGATATCGGAGCCAGAGCAGGTGGGAGCAGTTTTTAATAACAGAAACTGCGTCTTCAGAACAGAGACGAAGCAGAGAGCGACATAAACGAGATTTTAAGAAATTGCAAATTCTTCGAGACTGTCGGCAAGAAAGAGAAATCCTCAGTCTTTTGCGATGCAAGAACGGAACAAGCGGAGGAGGACTGGATGCAAGTCAAAGATCTCGATGTATGGGGAGGAATGCAGAGTCACAGAAGGACTGCGGAGGGAGTGGAAATTTGTAATCCGTGCAGCTTTGCATCGTGAATTATCCCAGCAGAAAGGCGAAACGTTCTTATCTTTTGTTCACGAGGAAAGTGGATCGACAAAAGCGCATCGACGTAGGTGCTGAAACCTCCGCTCTCCCCTCTGCGGATTCCTTTTCTTCTGCGTCGAACAGAGAGCCTTTTCTTTTGTTTCCGTCTTAGAAACTCTACGGAGTCCAGGACAGATGTCAGAGTCCCCCTTGACATGTTCATTTCAAAGGAAACGTGGATCGTCTTTTACGTAAGCGCTTACGACGCCACTTAGCTCCGGGGACTCATGCAGATGTCTCTAGTTTATTATTGTTTCACGTGTCTGCTGCAATGCCATCCTTTTACATTTTACGAAGAATTGTGGAAAGGTGAGTTGTATATTTTACTACCCTAGTACATCACTTCAGTACCAAATATTAATTGGCGCTAGTGTCGATCCCGCCCAAAAATTTTTGCGTCATGTCGGTATTACCGGTTGCATAAAATTATAATTCACAGCGCACAAATATTTTTTAGTTATCGTCTGTCTGTTCGTTCACTTATCCACTATATGGTTCGGTCTAGAAAGGGCCATCTTCAGGTGGTATCACGTTGTATTAAGGATATTAACTGTGCGCCACAACTATACAGGATGAGTCAAAAGTATGTTTGGAAAATATGAGGGCGTGTTCTTGGAACCAAAACAACGAAGAAAGTTTCTATATACATGGGGTCGGAAATGCTCCCTTTCCTACGCATTACAACTGAATGGAGAACACACGTTCCTGTCACGAAGTGTTTATGACGATGTATCTGATTCGCGATTTTGCAACAAGAGAAGTAGAAAGTTAACTCTGTCTCACTATACGCCATGTAGGCACTTGGACTTTTGGCTGTGGGGTCACGTGAAGTCCCTGGCGTTCTAACCTTACTGCAGAATACGGACACAAGCAACTGCTTAATCGTAATGAATGCCAACGTCGTTTTCCCGGCGCCACGGGT